GAAGCGTTCGAGTTCATCGATCGAATGGCCATTGACTTGGGCGGATTCCCTATTGGTTCGGGGGAAGAAGCCGTTGGCTCGTGCAATGGGGCCGTACAACTCCTTCCATTTGTCCAGTTGTTGCTCCAACGCGGTTTGATCGGACGAGCTGAGGGATTTGAAAGATTGTCGGGCGGCGGACGCAGTGGTTGCGAGCGTGGTGGAGAGGGCGAGACTAGCTTTCATATGCGTTTGATGAACGGAATTGGAGAATGACAGTTTGATTTGGAATGTAAAACTTCGGCAAGAGATACTGTGCAACAGTTCCACTCTGCAAGGAAATATTATGATGTCTCTACACATAATGGTGCATAGTTTTTTCAAAAATTGACCAAAGTGTACGGATATTCGATACGAATAGGCCAATCAACGCAAGGTGAATCCAATGTGACAATCTATACAAGATATTGTCAAGCCCACATACTTTATTCCATTTTAAATTTTCTGATTCCAGTAGTAGTAGTAGTACTAGTAACGTTAGTGACGTTAGAAGTTATTGGCAAATAGTCGAGTTAATGCAATTTGGACAGTGGAAAGCATAAGCGAGTGTTGTGAACATTAATGAATTATCCTTGAGACTGCGTAGTACTCGACAAATTCGTTCCCTGCAGAACTGTTGTATACCTGAATAGTTACATCCGAAGTCAAGATGCAACACGCGAATTAACGGGTTTCAGCACGATGTCAAGATGAATAACCCGGTCAACGCGGGTTTTGTTCATTGTCCTTTGGTGGCGTATAGTATTGCTTCCAGTAAAAATGCCTCATTTTGGCAAGCAATATTGGCTTGGTCATATCGCTTAGTAATACTATCTGCGGATAGTACATTGAAGTAAGGCACTGCAAATCCTGTTATAACTGACAGTGAGAACCACTTCCTTATATTTTCTTCCAAGTGGACAGTGGACTTTTCCTTATATTTTCTTCCAGATTACTAGTATACAGTACGGTACGATGATTCCCATATGGTAGAGCCCAACATGCACCATATATACAGATTTCTGACTCGATCTCCTCATTCTACCACCTCATTGTCCCAAGGGTTCAGGGATTTGATTGTCCTCGATTATCAATGCGCAGATAGTTGTGCACTATAAACGTATACTAGTAACTTGTTACACGAAGTGCGGCATCCTTCATTACCCAGTGAGCGCAAGAAAACACAAAAACAAACTTTTGCTCCCTTGACGAGCAAGGGACATCGAATTGTGTACAGTGTATGTACCAGGACTGGAATTGCCGTCAATCAGTACAGTATACTGTATGTAGCCTGCGGGTACACGCGAACTTTGGTACCAGTATATCGTACAGCTTTGCATAATTCTGCATAACTTATAGGGACTATGTAGTAAGTACTACGTAGTAGTCTCGGTACACCAATTATACTACAACTCTTGGGAATTACACGGCACCATCATCAAAATTAAATCCATAGGCACTTAGTGTTCACCTTGGTCGACAGATCTTCAGCACAATAATTGTTATTGTCGCAGGATATTTCAACAGGGACTTCGCCCGTCTTTGCCGACCACTGAAGAAACTTCGGTAGTACCGGTTAGGCCCAACGAGCATGTTGCTCGCTGTAATCGCATATTTTTATAGTGACTGAGAATAGTATTTCGACAATTTTAAATCGAATTTCAATCATATTATACTCGGGCAATAAGAAATACTAACGCATTTCAATACAAACCACAAGCCAGGTAGAGATGAAATTTGACGCTAAACTGTTTTATACTAATCTGAAGTACTTCCCGAAATTTCAGCAAAATTGGAGTAGTATTGGGGAAGTTACGAAATTTCTGAAGCGTTTCGCCCAAACGTACGGACGGTATGCTACAAGTGGATTGGTTGCACTCGGGATAGGAACTACTGTACCGGTACATATGTGGGTGAGGAGGATGTAAAGGCCAAATCTGAGATGCTCGAAAGATGGGCGCCTGGCGCGCACGTTTGTGCGAAGGCATGATGGCGTGGGAGGACGACGATGATGATATGGATCAAGCTTGAGAGATTCTTGGCTTTCATCAGTCTTCTTCGCGCCCTAAAGGCTCTACTGCCAACCGCTGCGCATGATCGGATTTACCTACTCTACTACTTTGGTCCCAATCCATTCTACGGCGAAGCCAAGTTTCGCCGTCGTTTTCGAATGGCCAGACCGCTGTTTAAACGAATCATGGATGGTGTGGTGATGCGTGATGAGTACTACCCTTGGACGCACTTGAGAGATGTTGAACCATGACTGGACAAGCTGGCAGTTTTCGTCGGTTCAGAAATGATATCCATTTCTGAACCGATTGTTGTCTCCATATCGCACATGATTGGGCAAAATTATCCATTGATAGCATGTTATTTGCTAATTCGTCGACACTGTAAATCTGGCCGATTTGCCGTCTCGCGGTAAAATTTTGCAGTTTCCTGTAATTTACAGTCGCTCGGTGGGGTTGTCAAAACTGTAAATAATCCGGATTGAAATGTATAATAGCGTTTACAGTCGCACCGGTGGGGATGCTCTTAGTCCACATCTGTAGCCGAAGGAGTTTAGAGCATCCCCACCGGCTGATGTAAACATAGAGCTGAAAAGACCCCTTTATTGGGTGCGTGCAGTAATCACTGCACAGCCAATCCACACCGGTTGGCGGAGATTGTAGTCCTGCAAACTCGTATTGGACGCACGCTGGCGATTGAGGTTTTGGAACTCTCGCCAGTCGAGCATTTAGTGCGACAGGGTTGGCATACATTGGAGGACTTCCAAAACCTACACAAATGAATTTGTGTGGACCTTGACATAAAAAAAAATCAAATAAAAATATGTGTTTGACCTCTCGCAATTTGTTGAGGCTGTTTTTTGGTCTCAACAAATCGTGGTGTTTGTGTTGCTCATCGCACAAAATTACTTTGATTATTTATACAAATATTAGGAGGTAAGCCAACGATTGGACTTCACGTTCCC